AATGGTAAGAAAAGAAGAATGAAGAACGGATAAGAAAGGAGAGAGAGAGAGAGAGAGAGAGAGAGAGAGAGAGAGAGGGTAAGCATAAAACGGATAAGAAAGATGAAGGAAGAACAGGAAAGAATAAAAATAAGAAAACTAAGGAGGAGGAAAGTGTGAGAATATGACGGTAAAAAGGAGAAGAAATAACAGATAAGAAAGAAAGACAGAAAGAAAGAACGAAAGAAAGAAAGAAAGAAAGAAAGAAAGAGAATGAAATAAAGTAATAAGGAAGGATGGAGAGAGCGAGAATAAAACACAAACGGAAGATGATGGAAGAACAGGAAAGAAAGAAAAATAGTAAACTAAGAAACTGGGAAAGTGAGAAAATAAAACGGAAAGAAAAAAAAGGAAGGAATGACAAAAGAAAGAAAGAAAGAAAGAAAGATAAAAAGGGTGCAGAAAGAAAGAAAGAAAGAAAGAAAGAAAAATAAAAAGTATGAAGTGAGAAAGATAAAAAGGGTGAAGAAAGAAAGAAAGAAAGAAAGACCGACAGAAAGAACTGAATGAAATATAAAATAACACATAAAAACGAAAAAAAAAAAAAATGAAAGAAAGCAAAAAAAAAAAAAAAAAAAAGTGGCAAGATAGATGCAACATGAAAGGAAATAGGAGGAAAAAGAATAAATAAAACAAAAAAAGCGAGTTAAAGAAAGAAAAATGAACTAAAAAAGAAAGAAATCGAAAAAGAACTAAAAACAGGTAAATGAGAAAATGAAAGAAAATCAGCCCGAAATGAACAAAGGAGATATAAAAAAACAACAACAACAAAAAGAATGTTCCTAGAAAAGACTGGGATTAAAAAAGTGACGTCACTTCCTGCCACTTCTCATTTGAGTGCTTTGTGAAGGGACAAACGCTGAAACGTTTGCAAACAAACAAGAATGATAGACGCAGATCATTTGGCATATTGAACTTGAGTCACAATCAAATAACCAGAAACTCTTCGAAATGGCGCGCCCAAAAACGACGACATAAACATTATAAGAAACGTTCAGCCTGGATAACGCTAATGTAGGCGAAAAGGATACAACAGCATTTCTTCGTTTAGGGCAATAGTTAATGGGCTTGGCTTCGTTTATGACACGTGTCCCTTTAGAACATTGGCAATCATTTTGTCCTCAATTATTTTTTATCCTTTTTAGTTTTAAGCAATGTCCGTCTGTTTATTTTTCATTCCACTTGCAGGTTTGCCGTCGAGTTACACAAGTTTGTTTAATAGGTATCTCCTATTTCTATCGGATTCTCTTGCTTTCAATATGCCATGTGTGTTTCAAATTTACAAGCCTTCTTTTTTCATTATGTGCTTCAGAAAGTTCAAGTCCTTCTGATTCTAAATACGTGTCCTTGTTTATTTCTTCCTTCGGCTTACGGACATATCACGCTAACCCCGGTTTTCGTCCGATCACTGAAGTTAAGCATCGTCGAGTCTGTTCAGTACCTAGTTGAGTGACCTCTTGCTAATACTAAGTTCAGTAAATTTAGTGTGCGGGTGGTGTAAATGTAACGATTCGAAATGAGAAATCGCAAAGACGAGTTCTAGTTCTGATCAATTTCGTTTTATTCTCTAACACACAAATTATCTTAGGAAAGGCATGAATCCACTTCCCCTCGCCACATATGAGTTAAATAGTAGGACTAGTATGAGAAAAATCATTATCATCCCCGAAAAAATCTTAGAATCTAAAAAAATATTTTCTGGCTTTAAATAACCTTTAAAAGGTTGATAACCTGTTAAAATTCCCCAATCCATCAATCAAACCCACGCTGTAAAGAAAAGAGTATTATATTTCAAAGGGTGTACTTTGAAGCGGACTAAGGCAACACTGGTCTGAATCTGAATGGCGCAGCCTGTTAGGACGGCGAGCTAATCTCCGTTGCAGACGCGTACTCGGGTATATTTATATTTGTTCAACACCCACAGAGCCAACCTGTGGATTATACTGCAACTATGCTGAGCAGACCTTAGTTAGAGTTTCCGAGCGCGTGTGCGTGATCTAGCATGATCTGAACAAGCCTGGCACGCTCAAACCCTCAGTCACGATGACTTGTGACTTCGTGCAACCACAACCACGGATAGCTCAAGGCTTGGGTCAACCCGTGGTATGGTTTTCACACACTTTCCACGCTAGGATCGCCTTCTTCAGGCCGATAACATCAAGAAGGCACCTTCCTGACAAATGGTAAGATTGGAACCCAGGCCTCATGGTCAGAAATCGAACATACTAACCACTGGGCCACGTGCCCAATAGGTCTAGGTAATATTAAATCGTTATTATTGTTAAACGGATTCTATGACAGAGTTGCCAAGTGTTAGATGTTGTGTGAGAATGTGTGAGAAGCCGCGTTTTCAGCCAGACAAGGTTTGGCGCAACTATAAACCTGAGTATAGTAGTAATCCAAACTCATCTGGTGGAAGAATACACCTTTCCTTAAGGAGTAATAAAACAGCCAATAAAAT